AAGAGGTCATATAATTTGCATGATCTGATTTTCTTTTGAAGTCTCAAACCCTGTTAGCAACCAGGCCCAGCCTTTTCTTCCAAAAGTCAATTTATATAAAATAAACAAATGTGTAAATGCTTATTTTGTTTGCTTACAATAATTCTAACATGAAAAACACGAAGATGGACAGTGATCTGAGATCACATTTAATTTGTTAAAGGATTTCAAATGTGAAGTTGGTTTATCTATTCATCAGGGAGACAAAATAGGATTACGAACACATAGTGCGGGCTAATGAATAGGTAAAAATGACCATTTAGAAGTAGCTTAACCATTTGTAAACATTTTCTTTATATAGAACAATTCTCTTGAGTTGCAACTTAAAAGTTCCTAAAGTCTGGACCAACCTTAAAAGTTCTACTGTTAAAGGAAATAAATAGTAAGGTTACCAAGACACATACTGTACATCAGAAGAAAAAACAATATTAGTTGAATCTCCTACTATTTAAAAGTATCAAACACAAAATAGTGTTTGATTTTTGTGGACTAAACTTCCATCCTCTAGCAGCCTGAAAAGAGGTTGTACAATGATTAATAGTTATTTCATAGCTACAGTATTTTCCTTTTTGATGACAAACTAGAGACAGTCTTGTTTACTTTAATTCAGAGTGTTTCACACCTGGTAACTGGAATTGCTTTTTCCTACCATATGCGTGGTAGATTAATGGCATGATACGGGGGCTGTTCCCTTGGGTGGTACTCTTCTTTATGCGGCTGTAGCGCAGTTTCAGGAAGTGGTAAGAAGCTGCATTGACCAGCATAGTTTGTGTCAAACCAACACAAGCTCTTAAAGCCCTTGAAATGGAAAAGTAATTAAATATTTATGCAGATTAATCGAAACCCAAATGATACACATTAATGGACAATCAATGGAATTTCCCTAATCCCTGAGTAACCTGTACAGCTTAGTGGTGTGGAACTGCACCATTTAACCCCCATTCTCCACAATGGTGTAATGTGATAGTGCACAAAAGCCTGTGAAATTCATAGACTTGGGAGGGCGACAGAATGTCTCAGGGGAAAGCCCCTAGACTCCTAAGGACAGTGGAATGGCATTGGTAAAATGGCTTTGACATGAAAGCACAGAAACAAAGTCAGCAGAGGCATGAAAACTACAGCTTTATATTTCAGCGTGACAGCTGAGGGTCTCTGTATAGAGTACATGCTCTATACTGCACACAGGGCAATATATCATTTTCACAAAGCCTGTTTTCCTCTGTACTCCATAGTATATAAAGGCAGTCTTTCAGCCAGAGCAGAGACATCCTGAAAACAATGCTGAGCTTTTTCAGCCAATGTGTGGGGGCTGTGCTTATGAACTATGAATAAGTCCATTAGGCTACCAATAAAGAGATGGAAAGCTGATTCAGTAGGTGCCTGGCATATTTTACATTGGACTTAAAACAACAACAACAACAGCAGCAGCAGTGAGGGTGTGCCTCGCTATTGAATGACAGTGTCCTGTCCCCATGAATCCATGACATTGTATCGTTAGTTAACCCTGGTGTCCTGCTAAATTCCACTTTGATGTTGTTCAATCTGGCCTTTCTAAAGTTCCCCCTCATTTCCTCCTTACTTGACCTGCAGTGTTGTTGGCCAGCTAGTATAGAATGTGGGTGCTACACTTCAGCCCTTCATTTTTCAGTCCATTACAAAATTACAAAAAGAAGTGATAATACTGTGTCTGCACTAGGTGGCATTACTGAAAATAAGCTTTGGTAATGGAATCTCGATTTTAGTAGCAACAAACATGATTAATAGGAAACTTGCACTACAAATAAGTTTTAAAGATTTCCCCTTTTTAATAAATTACAAGAAAGACCTGTGAACTCATTGACAGAAGACTGATGCCATGAGAAAGTATTTTGCCAAAATCTGGTCAGTGTGTATATGGAGATTAATTGCTGTTAGATACTGTAGTTCACAAAACCTCCCTCCTTTGGATGGTCACTGATTGAGCTCATTAGGAGAAAGTACCCCAAATAAAGGACAGAAGTCATTGATAGTCCTTGAATTTCAGGCTGTTCATGCAATCTGGCAAGTGTACTCATTCTCCAGTTCAGATTTGACTATTCATTTTCTTCTTTGGGGAGGGGGTTGAGATTTAAAATTGGGAATATAATCTGCATTTTGTGGTTTAATGCCATAAATCCTGCATGCGTTAAGAAGGATGTGATTTTGTCTACTTGTTTTATTCCGTAGCTTGTTGGCCTGTGGATGTTCTAATTTCTCCTGGGCTTCAACTTCAAGGGGAAAATATCTAAAATGCAATGTATTACAACCTACCATAACCAATATTTCTTTTCTCGGTACGTTAAAGATGATATTATAGTTACCCAGTAGATAACTATTAAGTGGTAAACTCTCAGACATCATAAAACAACCATTTTCTATCCTGAGCTTCTACTTTAAAGACTACTGTAAGTGATTAATAAATCACATCTAAAGACAATAAAAAACTGGCTTATTTTAATGTCTGAAGAGGTTCGAGTAGGGAGCTACAAAAGACAAAGCAGGGGCTAATTATATGGTAAAAAAACAAGATGATTTTATTTTCTTTAAGATGCATTACCTAAAGAACTATAATCCCCTGAAGACAAATCCACTGCCCAAACTGCACCGTTCTTTGTACTTTTAAATGTGGTATGAACAAATAACCTTGTTTCTTATTTTAGTTTTAATTACTGAGTAATTGAAATTTGTGAAGCTAGATTGAGATTTTCTCTTTCTTAATAAAAGGGGCCTTATAAACAACATTATTATGAAGTGTAACCCTACTGTAACCGTTGTTTTTTTTATGATTGTGGAGTAATGTTTGCGTATAACACAGAGAATGTGCCTCTGGTTCAGTGGGATAGTTTTGTGACAAGGATGTTTTCCTTACTGAAACCAAAAGTGAACAGTAAAGTGATACAAGTGAAAATAGACACATAGCAGCATTCTGCATGTTCCTAACACGAGGATCGGAAAGTCATCATTCAATGATCTTGTTCAGTATAGAACTTTGACTGGCTACATTTTTGACAAAATACTGTATAAATATATTTGGAGTTCTTACTGTTTGTCTGTTTTTGAGAGGTTGGTCAAATTTGTCCTAGTTTTTAAAAGGGTTAAGAGATATTCCAGCGAGATTGATATAAACATGAGAAAAGCACCATATGATAGCATTTAAGCAACTTAGTTAATTGAATGAAGCTGGCTTGGCTAATATAACTTAGACATGCAGCACAGTTTCACCTGATTTGGCTCAGCATTCGTGTTGCATAAGTATTTTTAATAGAATACATAAAGATAGATCCTGGTGGTATGGGTTTGACCAACATTAGTGCACATACTGTATATTGGTCATCTCTTTTAAAGGTGACAGCTACTAACTTACAATACCTTGCAAAAGTATTTAGACACATCCTATAGTGTCCCATTTTGTGAAATTCAAAAATGATGCGTACACATTTTTTTAAAAAACCTGAATGCAGAAAACAGAAGAATTCTAAAGAGAAGATAAAATGCAGTAATTGTAGCAAAAACGAAAGGAAAAAAACTGAAATATGTTGATTGCATAAATCTTCTTACCTATGAACTCAATATTTGATGGGAGCTTATTTTTGTCAGAAATTAAAGTCTATTTTGGGTAAGTGTCTACCAACTTTGTATACCATCTTAGTGTATTTTTTGTCCATTTTTGGCAGATTTGCTCAAACATTTGATCTTGTGCTCTAGCTGCTTGGAGAATACGGATGGAAAGCATTATCAGACTGTCTTTCCACAGATTCTCATAAATTTTCTAGTACAGACTTTGACTGGGCCACTCGCTTTCTTATTCTTAGGTCAGTTTTAAGTGTGGGTCACATTTTCCTCCATCTACTGTATGCTTCCATTAGTCATGACAACCTTCCCAATATCTGATGCTACAGTATGACATAATGGTGCCACCACCATGTTCCCATTGAACTCTGTTGCTCTTTCAAAGTCGTTGTTGGTCTCATAGTTCAATCCCTAACCAGTTTCCTGTCCAATTTGAAGGACAGCTTTATCTAGCCAGTGCCTGGGTGCCTTCCACTTCTTAATCATCAACTTCACCATGCTCAAAGAGATGTTAAGGGTCTTGTAAATAGTTGTATACCTTTCTTCTGTTCTGTAGCTTTTAAACAACTTCATCCCCGAGTTGTTTTGAAAGGTCCTTGTTCTTCACTACCTCACTGAAGGGCCTTACGGCAATCATATGAACCATCGTTATTGTACACAAAGGCCATGCAACTTCATACTGTATGAAGCTTGAGGTAAATCTGATCACCTAAATTAATTTTGGTTTGCCAAAATAACTAGTTATGACTCTCCTTTCCTTTCATGTTAGTTGTAGAATTATGTCTTTGTTTTTTTTTTGCTTTGAATGTATGGAATAGGTGGTTTACGTAATGTAAATTGCAACTGCAAAGTGTAATGACTGAACACTTTAATGCAACAAAATGTGAAAACTATGCAAAG